GCATACTGATAATCATTACGTGATAATCAACGATCACGTGGATTTCACCATCAGCCGATTTCACCATCAGCCGTGACGAGCTTTCAATCTCTGATATTTTACACCCAAGTGGCAGCGTACCTTCGAATGTATATGACTACTAAACAAATACTCAGCAAGAATTCTTACCTCGTCCTAAATGGTTTTAAGTTTGCATTTTTCAAGATTCCATACGCAAGGTTTTCAAACAGTTGACCTTTTTCGGCAGAACTCATCATCTATATTTTTTATCAGTATTTATAATAAAAGATTAAACAGTAGAACTTTATGTAAAGCTTACCTTGATTATTAAGCGAGAGAAAGAGATAAGATCGTCACGAGAGAAAACGAGAGCTAGAGAAAGATAAAAGTTAGATAGATTCATTTCGACGAATGCTCGTTATTATTACAAGTAGACAATGGGATTAATTAAAATCAAATATGGTATCTACTCATCTTTTCATGTACCGTTTAGTTCATTAATTCTCACGAATGTGGCTAATATACAACCATTCTTAATATTAATAAGATTCCGTTGGACAAACCCAAGTCCTAAAATGAGATTATCTAACATGAACAATACTAATATTAAGAACTTCTTATGAACAATATTAACTTAAACCGGTTTAATTTGGACCTACTCGAATCCTTAAATCGAGTATATCTCACAATATGCGTACTGAGTACCAGTATAACATTTTATTAATCGAATAATATGCATTACATAAATTAAGATTGTTCTCTTGAACAAATGTTTATATGAAACAATTCTAATATACAAACAAATAACATCCTTTTAATAGTTGGGATTTAGAACAAACTTTTTATAATGGAGTCTACCCAATCATATTATCATTAATACTACATTAACTGGACAGCAGCGGGATTACATTATGTCTATGCTGCAAACAATGCGTTGGGCGTTCATCCCAGCTAGTAGATCACAGTATATATGTCGTATGTAAATCCCGTCGCCCCCCGGATTTACATGCCGACGGGATTTACATACGACATATATATACTGTGATCTACTTACACTAGACTGTTACCTACTTATGAGTATACTGATGCCTACTTATTTTATAACTACCCATTTTGACCTCTAATAAGCTTGATATTTACTTCCTTTTAATGGTTTGATGATGTGTAGGTTGCGTTTGTATCGTCATTCAAGAGCCACTAAGGCATGTGCTGAGAATAGGTACAATGTGCTGTGGCTTGACTTGCAAGTCGCATTTTTTCACGTCACCCGAATGACGATCGTGGCCAATTTGTGTCGTCATCCACATGCATGCCGGTTTAGTAATCGTAACCGATTTCCGTCGCTGGGACGCAAACAAAAAAAAGTAAAAGTACACCGTGCGATTTATACATTATTAGTAGCAACGGGATTTTTAACTGTAGGGTTGACAATAGATATAATTAATTCATTTTCGAGATCGGAATCAGACTCAGAATCGTAATCCTCTAGCTTTTCTATATAAGTTTTGAAACCCTTTCCAATCTTCTGTATAAAGAGTTTATTGATAGCTTTAGTAGCAAAAGTAGCATGAATATTACAGTCTACTTTCTCAATTTTTTGCGTTATAATTTTATCAATAGCTTGAGTTAGCTTACTCTTATGATCTTGCATTGTTGTTATTTTATATACCGCATAAAATATTTAATAAAAAAATAACCGTGCAAATGCTATTGGGTATGATATCAATATTGTATGAGTTTTCTTTTAGCACTTCTGATTTTTTTTGCCATTTTCTCTAGCATTTTTCGGTAATAATGTTTCATATTTCGATACTTACCAGCATGCATTATACGTGCATTATATTTAGAAAAAGTTAACTGCCACACTTTTTACATGGTGTACACATAGGAGAATTCCTGTGAACATGACAGTCTTCAACTTTATATTCCTCGTTGTATACTTCGTCACCAAATAGATCAATCATATCTACGCTAAATTTTTTAACGATATATACCGCATAAAATATTTAATAGAAAAATTAATGCAATCGGGACATGCTATATGTATGCTATCTGGTTATGCTATCGATTAATGCTACCAAATATGTATGCTATGTATATCACGTAAATGCTCTCGATAATGCTATCGGGTATATGTTATTAGGCTATGTTATCAGGCTATACTATCGAAAAATGCTATCGAGTACGTTACATTAGAGTATGCCGATTTTGTTTGCCAGAATTTTTTATACCAATTGGCATTAGAAAAATGTCTCAATTTCGCTTATGTTAACAATATGTTATCTAACTCGATTTCATTCATGATATATATAAGAAGGCGGGTGATGTAAACTGGTCATGTTATATGTATGTTGTCAGTATATGCTATCGGATATGCTATATACACGATATCTGGACACACTAGCAGTATATGCTATCAAATATGCATTGTGTAGTTGCCATCAATTAATGCTATCTAATCGCTATCGGGTATGCTATATACACACTATCTGGTTATGCTATCAATTAATGCGATCAAATATGTATGCTAAGTATATTGTGTAAATGCTATCAATAATGCTATCGGGTATATGCTATCGACTAATGCATGCCGATTTCGAGTATTCGTATCCTGGCTTTGCATAATTCATTCGAATATTAATATCACCCGATGATGAGGCACGTAGTGCCGAATTGCTAACTGTTATAATGCACTCGAGTATCAATCAAGGTTGAGGCACATAGTGCAGAATTGTTATCGTTTATTTCGTGTCTATCCAAAGCATAATTTTTTATAATATATATATCTGTAATAATTTTACCTTGGATAGACACCATTTTTTCGAATTATGTAGTTAAAATAGTATGCTTTGATTACTTATCCGAAACTATATCACGATCAAAATGATACAACGCAAAAATGGTCATCGAAATATCTCGTATAGCGAAGCTAGTGTCTTTGACACATATTTTGTAACGCGACTACTTTACTTATCCCATATATCGGAAGCACTTACACGTAAAATTTCAATAGGTGAACACGTGAATCGGATGACAGCAACTTACGCACCGTGACCCAAAATTGCACGACACAAAAACCCCTTTATATAATCTATGTATCGGAATATTAATTTTTTATTTGAATTTTTTCTTATACTTATTTGTAAGAAGCGACAAAAACCCCCTTACCTAAAATGTATAGCTAGCTGAATATAGCAATCTCTCTGCTCCGGAGATTACTATTACCTAGGTTATATACAGTATATTCGATAAGAGCCAAGATTTACTTTTCAGCTCTTTTTTGTGCGGAGTAGTAGAAACTTTTATTTTAGCCTCAAAATTTCGTTTATATTCTAAGAAATCGGCCTCATTCATACTTTCGCGCTCTTTTTTCCAATAGTTATGGTTATCCCGCATTTCGAAGGCAATCTTGGCCCGCCATTGTTCTAATTTTTCTTTCGACATTTGGAATTTTTCTTGTAAATAAAAGATAAGAGTATCAATATCAGAATCGTTTTTGATAAGACATTCTAAAGATAAAGAAATTAAGGATTCAGGTATTTCTTTAATTTCGATAATGTTTGAAAATTGCTTAGAATCGTTTGATTGATTTTGAATTGATACTGAAGAAGACAATTGCGCAAAATTTGTCTCAATTTTTCAGCTATATTATTACAAGAACTTTCTTCATAATCTCATTACTGGATGGTGCAGAGCATCGAAGCTTTACTTCCTCTGAAATATCAGTAGTAATGGGTATAGAATCGAAAAGTTCTTGAGTTTCATTGACCGATTCAGATTTATATGGTGGAAGAATTGGAACTGTAGGGTGATAATTAGGATCGTTCAATTTTATAGCCATTATTCCTTCTTGAGTCTCAAAACCAGCTCCATTATCTGGTACACGATAAATCCAATATGTTTTCTTCCATACCCGATTAGTTCTTGGGCCTACACGAGTTGCACCACTCTTGATAGTATAACCGCACCAATTACTCGTTATTGCATTAATAGATTTTATTGTAGCATTAAGGTCAGGTATTCCTTTGGCTCTGGTCTTAAAACCGAAGAGCAACAAGGCATCTTCTCGAATTTTAACGATTTTCCCCCGTGATTGTTCAAACGTCTTAGCTACATCATCACCGGAAAGAATACTCATATCATCTATATCTCTAAAGCCTATTGATTGGACAAGATTATGTACCGCTTCCCACTGCTCTGCCGAATAAATTTATGCAAATCAACTGAGGACGGATCCATAGACTCATGTGAATCTTCCCACCGTGTTTCTTCTTTAATTTTTAGAATTGACGCATTGAAACCTTGTCTTCGATAATACGCTAGCCTTCTAAAATGGTTTAAAGGTTCAGGATTATTATATCTTTTCACAAAATCTATATCACAAAGTTCAACCCAATCATCATTATTCATACCCAATTCCGAATGTCATCTTTACCTCCGATATCATCTGAAGCATATATTTTCCACAAATAATGTCGTTGTAGAGTCATATTATCAGTAAAAGAGCGTATAGGATTTTGCTTAAGAGTTTCAGCTTCATCGGGACTAATATCAGGTGCATTGAATATTGCTTCTGCATCTTCACCTTTAATTTTTTTCTCAATATTCTTAATAGTATGAGAAATTTTATTTTTGTTGACTTTTTCGGTATCTTTTGCTGAAATTAACTCAAGTGTCGCTCCAGTACTAACAATGAGACTGCAAAGAATTTCAGGAAAATATTTAGCTGATAAGCGTCTTTGATATTCAACCTCAATATAAGTCTCCACGGCTGGGGATAAATCAAGTGTATAACAGTCATTAATTTTATTCCATTCACGATGTCCTTTTATAGCAGTTGGCAAGTCGCCAGGTCTCAGGGCAGAAAGTTCAGCACGAATGAGATCACGATTCGGTTCTTTGAAAATACCAGTTTTTTTACTATTATAGAGAGAAATAACACGATATGGGCAATCGCGAACTCGATAAAACATTTGTGCAAAAAAGCTTCAGCATGTACTCCTGTATTAATATTGCTTATTCCTATAACTGCATCAAAATGATTGGAAATTTCAAAAGAGATGCCAGCTTCTACAGTACTTGTATAAACCACACAATCAAGACCACTCCAAGTAGCATTAATATCGGCAAAGTCATCTTGCCGTTGCTTTCCATCCATTTGACCAAAATAAACACGTGATAAAACGTGCGAGCCGTCTGGTTTTTGTAGTTTGGAAGCTTGGTTTGCCAAAGCTCGTGCTTTTTTGCATGAGGTCATTGAAAAAGCAACTCGTTTACCTTCCTGAAGCATCTTAAGACCCATACGTATAGCTTCTGATCCTTTATCTGGATCGTAAAGAATTTTAACGGTCTCACCTTTACGTGGCTTATATTCGTTATCAAAAATTCTTATATCTCCACCTCGATATTGTCTCAAAAAGTTTAA